ATAACTGGGGTAAATGCCAGAAAGCCAGTTCAGTGGAACGCATTCCAGTAATTCTAAGCACCGAAGAAACCACACACCTAATCTTTTTTACTGCACGTGTCAGCGTTAGAAATGTGAGTTACTGCAGACTCACAGTTCCCTCTGTTCAGCTTTCAAGTTGATGTTCCTTTTGAGGTCCTGTCCTTTTTTCTCCAGGTTCATTCTGATGTAGTCTATGAGAAGAGCCTTCATTAACAGGGTCCTGAAACAAACCATCCTTATGCTGCAAAGGTGCATAACAACAGGAAGAAGCTACAGTGCCGACATACCAATTGTAATGTTATCTCTCTGCAAGTAAATGCCTGGTATCATGACAAGCCATCAGAAACTCTATAATTAATAGCAACAGTCCACATGCTTGTAGCATCTTTCCCCTAAGCATCTTAAAGCATCAAACGTTTTATAAATTAAGCCTCACAACTGTTGAGTAACATACAAGATACACAGGATTTCTTCTCCCTTAATTGAAATGCAGCCACCTCGGAGGCAGGATGCAGCAGCTGATTAACACCCAAAAGCAGCCACACTTTTTTCTTTTAACCTTGTCTTTGACTTGTTTTGTAATGTGCCTTGATATGTTTTTGTACATGTGCTCAGGCACCAGCCTGAAAGGAGTATTTTATAAATACCAAATTAAATTAATTTTCAGAATGCAAAACGAAATGCTGATAATAGACTAAAATATGCAGATGGTGAGCTGCAGCTGGGGACCAGGAAATTAACAGCTCTTAGCAGGAAAAAAAGCTTGCCTGCATCTTCCTGGAGCAATTATTTGCTTTCGGAAAAATAGCCAGGGGAAAGGACAAACACTGAGCGAAATCCCAGGCCCACAGAAGTCAGGTCTACTGACGTCAGTGGTGCCAGGATTTCACCTATTATTTATCTGTCTAAATGAAGAACTTTATAGCTTTATGACACCATGTGAATCATAAAAACTGCCATAAAATAAAGATGTAATGTCAATATTGAGTCATAACTTTGCCTTATTATGCCTACAGGTGGCAAGACTGAAGATTTAAATTTAATTATATACCACAGATGCTTCAATGCCATGCCTAGTTGAAGACGAATCAGGTAATGGAGAAAGCATATCCATTTTTTTTTTCATTCTGGTGGGTTCAAGCAGAGCACCAAAAGTCAAGATGCCCAGGGTGAGATTGGCTTCCATTCTGAGCACACCTGTGACCCACTAATCTAGTCTGGTCCCAAATCCAACCAAGGTACAGATCTTTGGCAGCAGCAATGATAAAAGAAGAGGTATTTAGCATTAGATGGTCTGCCAGGCCTAGATGCTGCTATTTTCATGGATCAGGACGGACTGCTCTGTATTGGGCCATGTCATCTCAGTGGATTGAACCTCTATACGCAGAATTGGGATTGGGGGTTCACAAACAAGGCAGAGCTGTCAAACATGGCTCTTGTGATCTCTCGGGTGCATAAAGTTTGGGCGTTTCCCTAACTTACAAGGAAAGGGAAAATTGGTGTCTGATGTTCACCAGATGTCAGTGGGTGACCCCCAGATACTTTGATTGTCAACTGATGAATCTCAGGCCACGAATATATGTGGCTTGAATTATATGTCTTTGAAATGTATTCCCCTTCCTTTGGGAAGCTGCATCAGAGTAAAAGCTCTATTCCACAGTAAGTCAGTCAGCCTTGGACCCTGGAGATCTAGACTAGAAGCACAAAAATCTTTATGCTCTAGAGCTTTTAACAGGACATGACAGTTTAACTGAGCAATCAGCTGAAATATAACTCCAGGACATAACAAAGCTAAGATTAGAGAGGTTGGGGATGTCTCCCCAAATCAAACTATTCAAAGGAAAATCAATGGAGTTGTTTAGCTCCTAGTAGTTTGGTGAATTTTCTCCTTCTCCATATATATAGAAATGAATAAAGTTTAATTTATAATAGGATCTAAATGGGATGCACTGTTTGGACAGAATTAATAATGTGGAACTAGAAATTGTTGATAACTTGGCAGTTCAGACTCACAGATAATTAACCAAATGAGCTGCTCTGTTTAATTACCGCATTCAGAAACATAAACGAATTGACTCACATTTGGGGAGTTGTCAATTCTCAGCTTTAACATAGGTCACAAGTCAGGCAGTGACACTGAAGCAGATAATTTGTAAATTACTGAAACCCTACATACCACTGGCCACCAGTTCCTGCTGATCTTACTGATTAAAGGAATTTCACTGACCATAGCAGAGGTTCTCATGTGAGAACACTTGGGCCTAGAACTCAAAGCTCATTATACTCCGAAAATGTTTATGCATGCATTTTCCAGTCCTTATCATCCTGGAACGCACAAGAAACCTTGCCATAATGCCTATAACGAGATTCAACAATGATTAGGCAATTGACAGCACAGTCTATGTCCTGGATTGTTTCTCTTGTCTTGTAAACTCATTTAGGTCAAGGACTGTTTTTTATTCTGTATTTGTATAATGCCTAGCACCATGGGGTCTTGTGTATCATGACTAGGATCTCTAGAGGCTACAGGAAAAAAATCAAAATAAATTACAATATGAATACAAGGCTCTTCAGCAGCAATCCAATAGAGAGCTGTAGTGTCCAAAACAAAGGAAGACTGATATGTGAAACTCCTTGCCACTGTGTGGTGGAGAGGCCAACAGTATCAAGGTAAAAAAACAATTAGGCAAATGTATGGATGACAGGTCCATCAGGGGCTATTAAACACAACTGTAAGGGATGGAACCTACTGATGATAATGGGGAAGGACTAACAGAGGATGGATCTTCCATGCATGTCCTGTTTCTTACATCCTTATAAAGCATCCACTACTTGTGAGGCTTGGAGACAGAACACTAGGCTTAATGAACTTTTCATCTGATTTAGTACAGCAGCACTTGAGTTCTTCTGCAGGATAGAAAAGGAAGGTATTGGTAAAGGGCCACATAACCAACGTAAAAAAACCCCCATACGTTCAGAATATTTTCATTGTGTGTGTTAACAACAGCTTTGTAGGTTACTAATTAAAGCTGGAAGACTTAAAGCTCTTATGTGAGGTTTGTCACTCAAGCTGATTGGCTTCACTCAGCTCTGGATAATGAAATAGAATGGAGCTGTTTAAATCTTCTGTTTATCATTTAGTTTCATTTTCAAATATCTGGGTTGCAAATGCTGAAGAAGAATGCTTAAAAAGCTATCTGCATTCATTGAAATGAAAGCCAAGGAATGAAAATGTCAGTAACTAATGATCCAGATATGAAAGCTGAAAGAGGGTGTGTCAGGAAAAATATAATATATACCATTATAAACAATAGGATGCCTGGAAAGCTGGATGATTGACAAGAGGTGACTGACAGCACTAGAGTATGTGGTGCTTTCAGACGGAAATCATAGTGCCTTCAATTAGATTTCTTATTTACAGGAAAACAGGTGGCTACATGCACATAAAATTCATTACAGATTTCAAGTATGGCTGACCTCAGTCCATTAGTCTTAATGGGAATGTGAGAGGGTTTATGTTATCTGCTCATCTGTGCTGAGGTTTTCCAAGAAGGGAATTATTCCACATGGCAGGCAGCAAAAATTAGCTGACTTTATCAAGAATGATGCAGAACCTCAACACTGGGACCTCTTATTTTCTCATTCCACTGCATGTGTGCCCAAGCACGTCTCACCTAATATTCTGTAGGCCTTTTAGAAGACCAGGGGTGCAGAGTTTTCTGTTTAATTTTAAGTCTAGGTGGGGGGAAAATCAGCAAGTCAAATACAGTCCAACTTTATGATAATGGATCCGGTGGGATAGGGGAAGAAGCTATAATGGGGTTATTCAATTTGCTGCACCGTAATAATGAGAAATTTGGCTTCTGCCTCTGGGATTGTTAAAAGTGGGTTTGTTATAAACAGGATTTGTTGTAATAAGTTTATCTGCATAGAGTTAAGTAATAAAACCCCCCTTACTACATGCAGCACTGAAGACAAGCACAAGGCTTTGCAAACAAAGATCCTCTGAGCAGCTGATTCTTAAAATAGAAGCTTTGGACTGAAGAGATGCACAGAAAGCAGCAACAGAAAGGATCTGGTAGGCCTTTTTGCTCATCCTTTCCATAGGTTCCCATCATGCCTAACACAGGATTGCTCTTAACTGAATGTTCTTAAGTGCTTTGACCCAATCTGAGGACTTTCCATCGGTTATAACAGCAGGAATTCTGCTTTTCTCAAACTTGTGCAGGCCCTTTGCCCTAGATTTGTAGCTGTACTTCTGAGAGTGTGCATTTTCATGGCATAGATCCCTAATTCAAGTCCAAAGCAGGGCCATTCAGTCTGAAGCCAATATCTATATTTGTTTTATCAGGTGTTTTTTTTAAATGCCTCAGGAAAAGCATTAAAAATAATGTGACATCTGCTTTCCCCAGGATATTTCCTTTATCCAGGAAGGCCAGAAGGTAGTCTTGTGGTATTTTGGTCCTTTATGTGGCTATTTCTGGCAGCAAAGAAAAACCATGTGAAACATATATAAAGAAGTGCAAGAAAATCACAGATGCTTGGAATTGAAAACTCCAGTTCCATAATTCCAATTTTTAGACTAATCACCAGTGAAATCAGCCACTAGAGGGCAACAAACAGTTTCTCTGACACCCCACATTAATGGGAACAGAGCCTTCCAAAGCCTTTACATCTCAGAGAAAAATCTCACTGCGCACCACTAAGGGGCACTAGCCTCTTTGCTTATGATGAAGTTAGCTTTGCTCATCTTAACATCCCTGCAGCCCAGCCCAGCCCTCATTAGGATGTTATTATTGATTATTTTTAGAGAAGACTAGCTCTGAAAGCCTGTCAGCAAACCCTCCTCAGTCCAGAGGAGTTGAATTAACAAGACACTAAACAATCGACCCACACCTTGAAAGGACAAGGAGTCCCTCCAAACTGGAACCTGGGAGCTGGCCAGTGGTTCAGTGATGTAGGTGAAAGTAATTTCCTGAATCAGCTCTTACTGGAAATCCATTTAGAAAATCCATCCAGAGCAAGATTTCAGATTCTTGCCATGACCCAATGTCTGTGCTTTTTCCAACAGTACCAGCTGATTGAAACAGCCTCCAATTACGCTGATCAGAACAGTCAAGTTCAAACAACCTGTTTCACTTGGCTTGTGGCTAATGGATTGTATCTGGCATGACACCAAAAGCGAAGGGCGAGCTTGTCTAGGAGGCCGTGAAAGAGAACGTTAGGACGGCCTGGCATAGCGATCAGAGTGTTTAGCAGTAAACGCTTGATCTAGCCAAGGCATTTCAGAAGTATCATCACAAGAGTAAATATTCTTTACAAAATGTCACGTTTAGAAAGACTTATTTATCCAGGTGTGTCCAGCTTTAATCACTGGTATAGATAAACCCCAAACAAACAAACCAGCCCCTTTTCTGGTTTTTCTCCTGCTTGCATGTTCAACTTTATCAAGAAAAAAAAGTGTGCTATTAAGGGAATTTTCCAAGCCATAAATCAAAGTTGAAATGACCAAATTCTACTATGGGAAATTTTAAAAAGTAGCTTATGTTATTTAGGAACATAGTTACCAAGAAAAGGCACTAGCATGTCCCTACTCCACGTTGGCTTTTTAAAACAATGGTGTCCTAAGCGACTGTTTGTTCTTGGTCCCTTGATGAAGCTTCCCTTGAAGAGCTGTAGTCTCAATCCTGGAATTGTATCCGAGCCTTTTCCCCCTTGGTGTCACTGGGCTGGGCCTGTGCACAAAGGTTTGCCTGCTTGGATGAAGCTACAAACTGATGTTTTAAATTTTCCATGGATTTGCTTGCCAAGCTGCACAGCTCTTCTCTCAGTTAGAAAATAGAAATGAATGTTTATTTAATTACCACTCCGTGAAAGCCAGCTCTCCAGGCATGCAGGTTTATATTGTCATCTAGCTAAAACACAAAATAATACCGGCTACTTTAAACAGGTAAAGTGGCATAAATAATCCTTTATATTTCAGGTCAGCTATTAGGATGAGGAAGTTACAATTTATTTATTTATTTTGGCTAAAAAGCAGTGTAAAGTCAGTTAGCAAAAACTTGATGGTAGCAGAGAAGGACCAACTGCTATCTTGATCTGTGCGTGCATCTGTTGCTACTACAGAGTTTTAGTATAATAGAAATGTACAAGCGCAATCCCTGCATACTGCACTTAAATTGATTCCTTAAGTGGGTCTCATTAACACTGCTCTGCAGTAATGATAAAAATTAAGTCACTTTTTTTCCATCTGGAAATCCTTCCCCTACTGTCAGTAGCCAGTAATTGCATCTGCTGCTGAAGTGCAGAAGGTGTGAAAGTCACTTTGGAGCAGATCCTGAATCTGATCCTTACAAATGCATGTCACATTACACAAGTAAGTGGAATGCACCAGGAGGTGGAGTTATGCATGTGGTTACAGGGATAGGCAATTTGGAAAGGCATAGTAGTATTTTAGGTACTTGTAGCAAAGCCAAACTCTTTAACATCTGTTACCCGCCACATTTGAAGCACTACTTGGCTACAGCAATTGCCCTCACTCCTGGAAGGTTGCAGGCATACTAGCCCTATTTCAAACAAGTAAAAGGTGCAGCTCCTTCCTCTAAATGCACGGGCCCAATCCAGCAAAGCCTCGCTCTTGGAAGGAGTTTCACTAGCTCATGGGAACTGGTCCACCGACTTCTGGTCTGTGGGACGGGGCCCTAGACAAAACACGTGCTAGTGAGATGCACCAGGCTGCCTCCAGCATTTGAGGTCTAGGGGTTCTGATTCAGAGGCTGTGCCCCTCACTTCTGTGCTCAAGCGATGCCCCTTTCCTCCAAGGATGTGTCCAATCCCTTTGCGAATCTGGCTAGACCGTGGGCTTCCACCAGCCTGGTGGCAGCGAGGCCCACTCGTCTAGGAAACGCGGCGTGAAGGATTGCCTTGCGTTCGCTTTAGACGAGTTTCATGCCAGGACCCCTGGTTCCTGCATTGGGAGAGAGAGTCCTACAGACTTTCCCCTCGCCATTTAGTGCTTTCTAAACCCTTCCCGCATCCCCCCTCCAGCGCCTCTTTTAAACTGCCGCTGCCTGATGGAGGGTGTTTGTGCCCAAAAGCTTGCAAAGAACAATTTTCCCAACTATTTAGTCGGTCTAATCCAAGGTATCCCGTCTCCCCGAAGAACCTCGCCTTCTGAACAGGCCTGTCCTTGCCTCTCAGCATCTAAAAGGGCAGGAGGCAGCCGGGGTGGGGGTCCCCCCTGGGAGCACGGGGGAGGCTGGGCCGGTCCCGAAGTCCCCTGGGAAGTGCAGGTCCCGGCACTGCTGGGCAGGGCCCGCTGCAGGCTGAAGCGGATCACCCGGGAGAGCATCCCGGTGCCCGGGGTGGGGCCGCTGCGGGAGCTCATTCCCCGCCCAGCTCGGGCCGGGGCCGGGGCCGGGGGACGCCCACCGCGCCGGAGCGAGCCGAGGACGGGGCCACCTGCCCGGGCAGCCCCCGCCCCTTCGCTTCCCTTCCCTTCCCTTCCCTTCCCCCGGC